TCGTTTTTCTGCGCCTACTAAAGCTTGAGCGAAGCCGAAGTGAAGGCTTTGAAGTTGGTTCAACAGCGAATCATGGCAGCAAAAGCTGGTCTGGGTAATGCTTTGACTTGAAGGAGAAGGACCTCATAGATCTGATCCTGGGGAAGAGATAAGCTGAAGTCAAGATGACCCATTATGTGCTCATGGACTTGGCGAGGAAGAGGGGGATGAAGAACCACTACGTCCTCACCAAGAGAGAGTTACAGAAGTCACTCGTCACGAATGTAGACAGTAGACCTAGATCAAAGCCATACAGCTTCACCAAAGACTGAATAGCAGTATGTAAGTGTTGAATAACTGAGTGTTTATCCTTCGGGTCTGTGAACGCACACATGTGCACAGGCAGTTCATTTTTATCATGGACGAAGTTCTGGCATCTCGCTTCACAGATGTAGCAGAAGATGGTGTACCCGTCTTGGATCCATCTAATCAAGCTAATCAAGCAATTAGATCTGTTTTTACAACGTCAACTGGCTATTTAACTGAAATCCCAACGCAAATAGTCGAATCTAGGTCAGCCAGTTTTGCTTAAAGTTTTTCTGAAAGTAAATGTGCCACAGTAGAGCAAGCCGTGAAGAAAGTTCGTCGTGAGAACTGTACATGTGTTCGAAGGAAAACCAATAGCAACTCGGTAATGAATTTCATGTCCTCGATAAGTTGGATGACGCTTCGAAAAGTGAAAAGTTGCTCCTTTGAAAAGAAGGTACTATCTTGGTATCGAAAAGAGTAAGGACCATAAAGTTTGCTCACTAGAGCGAATTTGTTTGACCTACGGTCAACAAGTATCTCAAGTATCTATGTGACGAGCACGCATCAAATCCCTCTGACGAAGAAAAAATGTTTCCGAGCAAAGAGGAGAGCGGTTAAGGATAAGTGTCGTCGGTAGCAACGAGCCATTTCTTCCCGAAGGTCATCTAGTTATCAGTTAAGCGCTGCTAGACCTCCAAGTTCTTCCAATTCGTTGGCAGGCTATCGCCCAACGTGTGGGGCTTTTGGCAACTTCCGGGGTTTATGTCCTTGTTTCAAAATGACTATCATATTTATTTTTTCTCTCATTTGAATCGTTCATCACATCTTTACTATCTTTGTTTTTGCTTTGGCTATAAGGCGTCTACCACAGAGGTCATATTCCAGTATTCTCCATGATTTGTAGTATCTTGCAGTCATCTTTAAGTCAGTCATACAAAGGAGAGCTACTCGTTTTATCTTAAGGAATAGTAACCTATGTTATAAGGCTCGTTTAATCAAGCTTAAGTTATTACCGCTAAGTTACTGGTTAGAATATCTTGAATTAGCTTTCTTTTTTAAGTGCCTTCATGGGCTTATAGATTTCACTCGTGAATTTAGTTATTATTTTTCTTTTCTAAAGGGCAACATACGCCGTGCTTCATCAGGGCTGCATTTAAAGTTAAATGCCTGTCGTATTTCTTCCTTTCGAGACTTTTACTTCAACAGAACAACTTTGATGTGGAACAGTTTACCTAAAAATATCAAGGATTCAGACACTATAAGCTCTTTTAAAAGTAAACTCAAGTCGTTTTATTTTACTAGACTTTTGAATGCTTTTGATGGTGACAATTTTCGTTCTTTTAAATTAATTTGTCCTGAGTGTCACCGTGTAAATACTTCTTCTGTCTGTACTTGTTAAGTTAAGTTAAGTTGTTAATTTGTATACTTTAGAATGTTCTGTGTGATTTAGATTATTTGAATCGTAGCTTAGTCGAATCAGGGAAGGATCTTTTTTCGGGATATTTCTTTCTGGGATATTTTTTACGGGGCTGGGTGTGGGTGCATTAACCAAGTAGGGGACTTATGTCCTATTGTTATGCACCTGTACTTGTACTCGTACGAATCCATTAAATAAATAAACAAATAAATAAATAAGTGCTAAATGTCATAATATCTGCGTCACAAAGTTGAGCAGCTATTTAATTACTGCATGTTCTGAATGGCATTTTGTGTTCATTAGTGAGTGTATCGGTATGTCTCTTAAGTGTTAAGTTATTTTAATAATAGCGGTATGTATGTGTTGAGTAATTGAGTGTTCGTCCTTCGGGTCTGTGAACGCACACATCTGCACAGGCAGTTAATTTTCATTTTTTCGTGTTAGAGGGTGGAGAGTTCGGTCATTTAAGTGCCTTCTGCTCAGACTCAACGTCTGCCGATTTTCGAGAAGCACTTCTCGTCGGGAGTAACCAACTGTGGCATCGGTGTCTGATGATATTCATCAGTTCACGTTTGATTTGACTTTTCGTGTTTGGTTTTTGGAAACTATGACTTGTTCAATATCCGGAACCAAAGCAGTGATGTCAAAGGCCTTTTAAATTCTGCCATAGGTTTTATTTCATGGGGCATACTAGTTTTGTTTACCTTAAGGGCAGTTTTGGAAGCCAACCGGATGAGTGTTCTGATATTGTGGCCGCAATTATTCAAAAGAAAGAGCTAAATTCCTCAGGTCTCCTGGTTAACGAAGAAAAGTCCCTTAGGCAACCTATGCCGATGGCCAAATGGCTGGGTTTTGTAATGAAGACCATTTCAATGGCTTTTCAAATTCCGAAAAAAGAAAGTCTTCCGGACACTGTAATGACGGACGAATCATCTTCGTATCGCAAATTAGCTAGGATAGCGTAATTTCGTAATTTCGGTTTTCATAGCAGTGCATGGGTCCTATTTCAAGTCTTTTCACCGGACAAATGTACCAGGCAATCGAGTCTCGATCAGGATGGGATCACATCTTTCGTTTCCCCGCAGCCCTTTTGGAAGAGTTGAAACTCTGGTACTCGAGCATCCGTTCATTTAATGGTTACTCTCTTCGACCTTTGCTCTGATGCAAGTGATGTCGCTTTTGGCGGGTTTTCAGCATCGTTAGATGGTCTAACGGCCACCGGTATGTTGACTTCTGATGACCTCGGTCAAAGCACTTTCCAAGAAGGTAAAATTTTTCACCGGTAGTCGGAGTGGTTCCAGAATAGCGTCCATAGGTAGTTCTACAGCTTCCTTTTAGTCGGTTGCATCTATATCCATATTTCAGCTTTGTTTTGCACGGGATATATCCTTCGAGTCGCAGAGGATCCCTTGATTGTTGAATTAGAAAACTGATCAGCTCAGTAGCTTTGTCGATAAAGATGATTGGTCTCTAAATCCATCTGTTTCCGGCTAGTGAATTCCAGGTTGAGTCCCCACACAATCGAACGTTTCGAAATCTATTACAATGCCCAGCTGGCGATATTTAACTTGAAGTTCACTTCTCCTGCTTCCATTGCCAGTGGACTCCTTGGTGCGAGACTGCAGTGGTGAGAACAACTAGATCTAGTCGATTCCGTCCGTCATTAACCTTATGTGCTGGTTACGGAGCTTTGATCATTCCAGAATGGCCCTCGTCGTATTTTTGGCTAGGGATTTCAGTTTAAGCCGTTCGTGGTAGCCGTTTTTGCCCTTCCAGCGATAAGGAGCCTTTTGTTAGAAGGGCCAGGCAGAAGCAAATCCCGCGCATCAAACTTTCACAGCTACCAAACTATAGAATGTTAGCTTTACGCTTAGATTTTAGGTGAGTTTTCTTTTCTATATCCACGTAGCATGTGAGCGAGCCTTAACTGGCGTGCTTATTTTAAATTTTTTTGGCCCGTGTTTTTGGCCTGATTTAGCCCATGTGTGGTGGCTTAACGTGGCCCGTGATCGTGGCCTGTTTTGGCCCATGTGTTGTGAACTGATTTGGCCCGTGATTTTGGCCTGATTTGGCACATGTTTTTGGCTGATTTGGCCCGTGATTTTGGCCTGATTTGGCCCTTTGATTTTGGCCTAATTTGGCCCCTTGATTTTGGCCTGATTTAGCCACTTGATTTTGGCCTGATTTGGCCCCTTGATTTTGGCCTGATTTGGTCCCTTGATTTTGGCCTGATTTGGTCCATGCTTTTTGCTTGATTTAGAAGATCGAGCTGGCGTGGCTTGGCTGGCATGTTTCTTGAACGTTGCTTCGGGGATTTTTTCCCTTGCATTGCATTCTGTGACCTCATTCTCTTTTGATTAAGTGTCGTTCTTTCCAAAATGTTTGATCATTCATTATTTAATGGAGTTCATTTACAATTTATTGTAATTCGGTTGTTTTATCAATCGCCTGTTCAAATTTAACGGTTTTGAGACGTTTCCTTTTTTTCCTTTTTTGTTTAAGACATTCTTCTTTCCGGTATCTGACATGAAGCGTGCGATTTGCAGGACTACTTACTCCGTCGTTTGGTCCCAGGTCTCCTGCATTTGCAGCTATGATCGAAGGCACGTCGGGCGAAGATTGGTATATGCCTGTAATTCCCACTAAGCCCTTGCGCATCGCCTTGTTTATCGCTTACGGAAATTTGTGCGGAGAACAATATGGTGTGTCACCAATTGAAGCTGCACTTTATGGTGTTACAAAGGGGCATACAATGGCCGGGATGGAAGCGTGCCTCCCTTAGTCTTCATCCACTCATGAAGTCATACGTCGAAGGAGCGAAAAGAAGGTAAGCTCTTCCAGTGCAGTCCTAAGAACCTTAGTCCGCCGATGCAGTGCAAGCAATTGCTGATGATGTCACGAGTGATTCTCCTGCTGCAACCTGCTGGAAGAGCTGGAAAACGCGGGTGGCCAAGTTGGGATTAATTATCGTTCTGAATGTAACTGATCGACCCTTTACTCCCTAATGTCATTATACATATTCTCCATACTGTTCTTTAGACATTTCCTGAGGTGCTGACAAGCAGAGTTTGTTTACTGATCAAAAGCTTCTTTTTGTTGGTAATCATTTCCTTTATTCTCATGACCTTAATGTGTGATTTAGGGATGATATTGAAAGGAGAGATTAGATGCTAGTCACTCTAAGGGTTTAAAATGGTTAACAAGGTCACGCAAGTTTTCTGGACCAATTACGGAGCGAGGTAAAGCAAAACCAAAGCAACCGAGGATGACTTTCGACACAATTGAACACTGCTCTAAAAATATTTGAGGTTTATTCTGGAACTTGGAATTCATACTACACTATTGAATTAGAGGGCTAGCTTTACTACAAACCATTAACAACCCCATTAAACCAAACTTAGCTTTTATTTGTTTCGCATGTTTTACAAAATAATTAAAAAGCTGAAACTAGTTTCTCCATAATTTTTATGTCACTAGATACACGAGTCTTAGACTGGTCCAGTTCCCAGACTCCGTTATTATTGACAAGAGTACACTGGAACTGAAACTAAGCGTAACGCTGAATTCAACAGCGAGCACATGAACGAACAAATGTGACAATGTTAACTACCTATAAAATATGCACTGCTTTAAGTAAATCTACATTTGATAGGCGAAACATTGACCTAACTGGTAAATGGAAACAGCCAAGGAATTCTTAAAATTTATTTACATTAACATATCTAGCAAACTAGGAAGACTTATGAAACCTGGATGACGATGACTGAATTTTCCAGTTTTAAATAAGTTGCGTGGCTCTCTTGTTCGACTATGGATGAGATTCAAATGGGCGACCATTGGATTTTATCTCAACGTACGTGAAGTACCATCGTCTTTATGTTAGTCTGCGAGCAGGCTCCTATAAGTGGGGCCCTTATTATTGACGTTTTAGCACGAGCCCGCGTTAAATTATGAGGTCTTGAGCTACACGAGTCGGCAAAAAGTCTACCAGCACCAGACCCCCAGCAAACCTCTCCTCAAGTGATCACAAATCTTCTCGCGGGAGGAGAAACGTGTACCCTGCAGTACTAATAATAGGGGCCTGATCGCAGGCTATCTTTCTGTTTTTAACTATTTTTGGCCAACAGAATTAAACTGTACCAAACTTAACGTTACTTCGTTTCGTGTAGGCATAACCTTCGAGGTTAAAAAAGGTTTGGAACTTCTATGCCCTATTTTTTCGACATGGTTCACTCACGAGAACGTTTGTTTCACTTCTTGTCAGTCGCACATATACTACCGGGCTTATTCTTTTTTTTTCTCAATGTAATTCATTTTCTATCTAAAGTGAACAACTCAGCAAGAAGCACCAACCTTTGGTGAACTCACCGACGAGCGCGCGTTTCATTTCTTGCTCGACCGGAAAAGTCTTTCCTTATTGAAAATTCTGTAACAAATTTTTACATATTGGTAATCTTCTCTTGTCAAAAATACAACGCGAATATCGCTATTTGGCTTCTTCGTAATCCACTCTCAGAAGTCCTTGAGGGTGTGCGCGTATTCAATGACGACCCCATTTTCATCAAACCAAATAACTGACGTAATTTATCTCAGGTGCTTTTTCCTCGGGCTCAGATCCCCGCGGTTGCCATTGATTTGGAGGTAGTTCGGGCTCCGGGGTGAGTGTGTTTCGTGACGATCGTAAAGATTCGGGTCTCCGGAAACCGTCTGAGTCCTGCGACGGAGGCCTAACGAGTTGTCCATGAATATTGATGTACGGCTATAACATAGAAGAAAAAGTAACGGAAGTATTAGAAAACTCTCGTAAAATGTTTGTGATAAGAGTGAATTTTCTGCCTTCTATGAAGCTGAGTCTCATAACTGATCTTGCTTTTTTTTCCCTTTAGATTCCCATTGCATTATTTGTCACGCAAAGCAGAGTTCCTGAGAGAATAAAGCAACAAAACAACACACGCTTAACCACACGAATAGAGCAGTTTTCGATTGAGTATCGAAAGTGAACCTACATTGCTTTGGTTTTGCCTTACTTCGCTCTGTGATTGGTCCAAAAAAAGTCGAGCTGCCGTCTCAACCAGTCAAATGAAAAACTGACCAATTCCAACTTGCTTAGTCAACACTCAATTAATAACCTGCTCGAAAATGACCTGAATAAGGTGAAAACCAAGAAATGCACACACTGGCCACATCTATCGATGTTCGGTTTTACCAAAGCAGAAACCCCTTGAGACTCAAGGGTAGTGGAGGTATCATTTCATACTCTCGTTTTAGAGGATCTTTAAAATAACTTCGTTAATTGTTGTTGTTGTTTTTTTAAGAACTGAAGAATATCACCCTGCACAGACCCTCCCGGTATGTACCTGTCTCTGTCGTCCCGGTGAAGAAGGTGGATGGTAAGGCGCAGGTCCGTCCGAGTCATAGCGAGGATCCTGGCCGTCTGGTGGATAAACAATGTCGCGTAAAAACATAGGCGGCTCTGGAAGGCCATCATCTACATTAAAAAAAAACACCATTAGGAAAGAAACAAAGCAGTAAAACAACAACAACCAAATGACGAACAAAAATAGAAATTAACAGGCCGAGTGAACGATGACGAGTCAATTCAAGATTGAAACGCTTTACATCGTGCAACGTTTATCTCCAAATGGACACAAGGGTCCAGGGTCCAGGGGCCCCTCTGAAAACCGCTGTGGCGATTATTATTATTGTTATTGTTATTATTATTATTACTATTACTATTACTATTACTATTACTATTATTATTATTATTATTATTACTATTATTATTATTATTATTATTATTATTATTACAAGGCTGGTCACTTTCAGGGGTCAAAGGGTTAAATATGGAAAATATTAAACAAACTTGAGAAAAGTTTCACAAGATCTATAAGCTATGTATGTTACATTCTAAATCCATTTTTAACTTTACAATCTAAATTTTCCTGCACTGTTTTGTTTTGTTTTTGTTTTCTTGGCTGCTGTTAGTTACATATTTAATTCAAATCAGTATTGGAAGATATCATCCATGTCATAACAATTTTGTAATACCTATAAAATAATACACAGTATCATTCCCACTCATTCAGAACAATTTTGTAATACCTATAAAATAATACACAGTATCATTCTCTCTCATTCATAACAATTTTGTAATACTTATAAAATAATACACGGTACCATTCCCACTCATTCAAAGTCGGCTGTGAGACGACAACCTTACCGGGATAGTTTTGATAATTATTAGAAATCGGTCGGTTGCTAGGCAACATAGCCATAGGGGGTGGTAGGTCCGGGGGCCCCTCATTCGGTGGAAGATTGGACGGATCATCCAAATCTAAGTCGTCGCCATCATGCACTGGGAGGTCCTCGAATGATCTGTCCTCAGGGGTGTACTGTGGGGGAGGCCCTGTGTGGTTGGAACAAAAGAAAACTATATCAGCTTGAGAGCGTATTTCGATTACCTTCAATAGTAGTGGCCAATCAGAACGAAGAAAAACATCGCAAGACCCTGTGACATCTTAAAGTGAAAGCACTTTAAGAGACAAACGCGAGCAACCAAATCGTGATCTGAAGCAGTCTTAGATCTTGTTGATTGAGGAGGGTGGGGAAGGTAAGACTCTGGAATCTGACTGCAAAATGAAAATTACAACCCTCATCAACTTTTTCAAAACATCCTGTCACCCCCCCCCCAATACTGAGTTGTTGTCAGGGAGGAGAGGGAAATGTTTCCGCAGCTGTGACTAGTACTGTAACTAAACGCACTCCAAGATTACTTTCAGCGCGTGCTTGAAACTGGCTCACATGAAGGCAAGGGCAAGACCATCTGTTCAGAACTGAACGAAGAATGCAGTCTGACGAGAAATACTTAGTACTCATGTTCGAGAATTTTGTCGCAGTTTTTCTATGCTGCTCTTCGCTCACTCTTCAAAGGCACGATTTTCTTTACCTGGGTAAAAGCTAGAAACCAAGGTTTGAACATTAATGCAAACACTTCTGTCATAAGCAAAAATATCTTTATCACGAATGACAGTTCATCTCGAAAACGAAAAAGATGCGTGGGCGTGTGTCAACCCGTAGTTTCCAGAAATCTTGAAACAAAAAATTAAGAATTTAGTTGCCTTCATTTTCTTGAAGATTTCAGGAATTTATGAATCTTATCAAATACAAGTAACTAAGAAGTTAAGTTATTGTTTTAAGTTTGTACTAACATCCTTTATAAGAGTCTTCCCAGAATGGAGGCCCATACATCTGTGGCGGTGGGCGAAGCCTCTCTGTTGAACGACAGCATGTTTTCAAATTTAATTTTACATTTTTAAATAGTTTTACTAAAGGTTTAAGTGAGTGTTAAAACGTTATATTACGCTGATTAAAAGTACCATCATCGAAGAGCTGGCACTAATCTCTAATTGGCTCATAACACTCGGAAACTGTCCGGGTATTTCATGAAGATAGACCGATGATGTCACATTCCGAAGGAGCTGTATCACGTAATATGCTTTTCCTGAGTTTTACAATGAAGGTGCCAATCGTCAACAAAAATTTTCGATTTACTTTAACAGCGTTAGTTTAGCATCTTACACTCTACTTTAAGGTGGCGAAACGTGCGAGCAAATTGTTATTACGGCTATTACAATTTTAAAGAAATTTTTTTGTCCCAGAAGTGCAAGTGGAAAAAATTAAACCTTAGAGTTAAGCGAATTACTATTAATGATAATCACAGAGTCGTTTCGTGTTAATTGAATTGTAGTACATTAATGAAACATGGTTAAAGGCTTCCCCCAATAAGTTTGTTTTTCAATCAAAAGAGTAGTTATCCGCCCAACTGAATTAAGGTGAGTCATTTATACATTACCACATGCGAAACGTTTAAGTGTTAATCAGCAGATTATTTCTCACAAAACTTTTGAAATAATATTTCTGTAAACCCACGATACTTGGTAGTTTTTTTTACTGATATTGTTATTCCGCAAGCTGATAAGTTTGATAATCATGTTATTTTGTTAAAAAAAAACCTCCTACCAATCGCTGGCTCATTTGGTTCACGGCGAGGTCTCTTAGGTTTGGGTCTCTTCTGTGGCAAAGCATATGGCACCGTAGGATCAAGGGGCCCATTTGCAGGACGACCACTCGGGTTAGCCCCCATTGGCAACACCCTCGGCCCCATAACACGTCCGTCCCGGTCCACTGCGGCGTAACCTGGCTCTTCAATGGATTCTACATGTCTGTTGACCAAACCAAATCAAATAGTAAAGAACAAAAATTAAAATGATGCAAAATATTTTACGAACAAAAGGGGTAACATTTCATTGAGTAATTCTGAAAGGTGAGGGCATATACCTAAAAATAAATTTTCTGCGGCTTCTTAACCAAGTATAAAGAACCTTACCAATCGACATCGGTTCACCTAAGACCCAGACCCTTTCACGGATCCTAATCCTAAGCTAAACCCTGAGCAATTCTCTAACATCAAACTTTAGACAATGACAAGACCGTATATTACTACGTACCGAACCTAAAGTATTTAAAACTTTCTAGTCTCGTGTGGCATTTTTAGGCTCTGGTGTAAAGAAAAGAAATTCCTGTATTCGCTGAATCAAAGTTTAGACCAGCCCTACAAAAAATTCCTGAATTCATCCCTGTTCCTTCCTTTTGGTTCCGAAAAATAGAGAGCACTTTAAAGTCAACCTAACGAAGAACTACGCTTCAAAAAAAAAAAAAAAAAAGGACAAATTTTTACCTCCGCCAAGAAAAACCACATACACAAATTTACTCAACACGTTTTGCGATTCCAACGAATAACTGAAAAAAATTGACTTGAATCAAGCACTAACCTTACTCTCGGGGGAGGGGGTGCAGACCTCTGAGGCGTAAACCGTTGTTCTCCATCACTCGAGTCTGTGGGCTCATCAGCTGGTCGAGCTTGTCTTGGTCGGCGGCCTGAATGTCTTCCCTGCCCTGGTCCTGTGAGGTCCCCTGTTGACTTCCTGGTTTTGGGTTTCCTTCCTGACTGCCGCATTGCCTCTTCAAACGAAGGTGGTTCATGGTACGGAGGCAGTGTGCTGAAATCTCTCTGGGGTCCCCTAGCCGAGTATGCTGAGTTCGCATCCAGTTCACCAGTGCTTTGCGCCAAACGGCCGTTTCTCACCATGCGGGAGCCTGGATTGAGTAACATTTCAGGCTGCTGTCGAACAGAATCTAACAGAAGAAATGAACTTTTATTCAAAACTTTTTTTTCGTTGTTTGGTTGCATGAATCGTGTACTTTTCCCGAGCAGCTTAGCTGTGGATAGTCAGCGAAGTTCGTCGCACAAGGTACAGCGCGTTACCATCAATTTTCTTTCCATCAATTTTTCTTTCATGGATGTTCTTTTCACTTTTTTCCTTTTTTTTTGGCGACCGACTTTGCCGAACAGAAAGGACTGATCGTCAGTTTACTGTAAATATGTTTCTTATGTGCGAATGAAAAAAGAAAATAGCTGCACATCTGTGCACATAAAGTCGAAAGCACACAAGCTATTAGAAGCCTTTACCTTGTGACAGGTATCCAAAGTTTACACCCTGACTGGAGTCTGGTTTTTCTTTTTGCCTCGGTTGAGTTCACAGACTGCATTGACGCAGCTGCGAGGAACGGATCATCTTCCACCGACTCCATACCGTAGCTACGCCTGTTTTCCAGGACACGTGTCACATCGGGGCCACCCACAACATAGCTGAGTAAGGTAAAGATGACACACTTGGCGTGAGAACATTGCCACAACAGTTCTAACATGTGTCAACTTTTTCGGTATAAGTAATCAGGCACGTATGTGTGTGTTTTGCTTTAAAACTTTATGATTAAACAAAGCCTTTTGTTCAAAGCTTGCAAGAGAGCAAATTCAATATCGTTTTCGACACAGAACGCTCATGGACATAGCTGATCCTAACAATAGACACAACACCCGCCTCATATAAATCTGGTTCACGAGCTCAGTTCAATGTAGGGAGAGCATTTGTCAGCCTACCTAAAGTAACTGACGGCGATTCGAACCCTCATCAGGGGCTTATTCCATCCTCCATGTGTACTACAGCACCTATATACCTGTAAAGCGCGTGTACTTCGTGCGTGGGAATAACACGCGTTTCAAGTGCGTATAGTACCACGTGTGCGGTCGCAAAATTAAACGCGTGTAATAGAACTGATCAAGCGTTCCTCCGACGGAAAAAAAACTTTAAGATTTATCAATCAAATATTCAAATACATAAATATTGGAAGAGCCCTCTTACTTTGTAGTTTGAGACATGGGAACATTATTAGCTGCAACAGAAAGAGAGAAAGGAAAAATTAATCAAATTACATTTTATCATTTCAATAGAGAGTTTCATATACGTTCTTGAAAATATTAGAGTAAATAACTTGTAAATGGAGCCTCACAGAGTGTGGTCCCATAAACCTTCTGATGCCACAAACAGACCGTGTAGTTGCTTTTGGATAAAAATTCGTACATAAAGCTTGTTAAGGAGTTGCAATAACAGCTGGGTAGCGGGTACATCTACTCATTGGCTACCCGCTCGTGGCCTTTTAATAAGCGTCATTCAACCGCGAGCTTAAGGTAATTGTAAATTCTCGTCAAATTGGTTGACATTTACGAAATACGAAGTAACAAACTAGAATAAACCTTATAATGCAGGAAAATACCACTGAAACAGTCTTAACCTTCAAAATTTCCCAAGGGAGCCCAGATCTCCCTCGGAAGAGGAAGCCCTCCAGGCGCTCAAAACTACCCGCCTACCATTCGAAATACCCACTTGTATCCAATTTTTTTTCTTGTATAACCACTGTCCACACAGTCTTATACTTACCCCCGTGTTCCTTCTTCCGACGCTTAAAGCAACACAATGCAAGGACGACAATGGCCAAGAGAAGAAGACCAGCAACTAAAACAATAACAGCAATCATCCAGTCCTTTAACGGTTCACCATCATTTCTTGCTCCTGGAAGAGGGCCAGCCGGAACTAAAAAAACATTGAAAAACGCATAAAAAAATCTTCCTTGAGGACAGAACGTGTATAGTAAATCGCATGCAATCCTCGCGCAAAGAGTAACTCACGGTTTGTACCTTTTTGAGAAACAAACTTCAACGACTTTTCCAGAACTCAGATTTATTTTTTATTCCAAATTTCACCTTTAACTCTTTCATTCCCAAGATTTCCGAATCAATTACCCTTACGGTCTTTACATATTCCCTACAACGTGAATTCTGAAAACTTTACTGCCTGAGTTAAGCAGATTTCCAGGACTTTCCAGGATCTGTAGTCTTTTTCCAAGACTTTCTAGCCCTGGAAAATGTTACAATAAAATGTAAGGACTTTCCAGGTTTTCCAGAACCCATAGGAACATTGTGATTTACGGGCTGGCATGACTGATATTTTAAGCCGGCTTCTAATTCAAAAGAAGCCTTCTAGTCAGAGCTGGTGTTACCTCTCCCCGACTCGTTTCCAGTCTTCCCGAGGGCGGAGAAACGCGCGTTCTGCAGCTCTCATAATGAGGACCTGCTCGCACGTTAATCAAATTATACCACGTACCTATATCACTATACACATACGCCGGAGAAGACTCCCCTGGTCGTCTCATATCCATTCTAAATCTGTATGAACTGTCAGCTTTCAGATCGCTCACTTTAAACTCTGATACAGATCTGTTCAGCTGAAAGGCTCCCTTGACAAGCTCCCACGAGCCCTCTCCTCCCTGCTGAATCTCAAGAGTCGCAATTGTTACTTGGTCATCTGCTATCGTCCATTCCACCAGTATGACAGAGGCGTCGTCTGATGCTCTCAAAGCTTTGACTGAAAGAAAGGACAAAAGAAGGATAATTTAGCTAACGTGTAGCTATATCCTCCCTCCCCCCCTGCAAGGTAAGGAAAATTCTACTATGAGCTATGAAGGCGTAAATGGTCTACATGCAAGCCAAGTTTCCCTGCTAGCTGTAGCAGGAAGGTGTCAATGGCGTCAACAGTTAGCCATAAAACGACCAAATTTTTAAACCTTTAGACGTACAATTTCAGATTACAATCGCTAATGCTAAAAAATATTTTCCAAACATACCAGTTCCTCTGTCCGGAGGTATCTGGGACTCTAAAAACGAACAAACGAAAAACGATAAGAACAGCAGTCATTGCCATCACGTAATATTTCATAACATTGCCAAACATTCTATGATTTACTTTTTTCATATATTTTTTTTTGTTACCTGCTGTTTTATACTCCTTTGGGTCTGACGGTTGGCTTTGGCCAAGTTTATTAGAAGCTTGAACGGTGAATTCATACACTGTTTCCGGGTAAAGTCCTGGTATAGTGTGCATGTTGTTATCTGGGTGACCAACAAACTGTTCCACAAAGTCTCGGTTGCTTTGTTTGACGCGATAATGGATTGTGAACTCTTGATCATATCCTCCACTGTATCCAGGTGTCCAGCTCACATTAACGCTTACAGTTTTCGAATTTTGGTCTTGAAACGACTTCACGTCCACATTAATTGGTTTATCTGGAATCCCTGCCAAGAAAGTGACTCTGTTTCAGTTTTAAAAGATATTTTAGGGTGGTGAAAATCCATTCATTAGACCGCTTGTAAGCAAGAGTCCCACTTAGTTTACACTTGAAATTCTCCTTCACTGGCGATGGATGGCTGGGGTGGTGATTTGCTGTCTTCAAAGTGCTGCATCACACTCTAGTGAAAAACCTCCCTGGATCTTAACCAATGTCCGACGATTGTTTAACGCCTGCCAAAGACCCTTGCAGACTAAGACCTCTAAGGATCCTCAAATTAATTTTTCAATTTTTTACATTTTTTTTTTTTTTAATTAACTAACGATATGTTTTTTTTTAATACTTGCTGCTGATAATCTAAAGGTGGGATTCACATTTGTAAACACAGACATTTTGTATACTTCGGCCAATTTCTTCCTAGTTTTCCTGGTATCACACCATGAAACGTTACGCAAACCTCAAAGATTGATGGTCGCCAATTTTCTTTTCCTTCTTGAGACTACAATCTGATGATCACACAGACAATTAGAAAAAAAAAGTTAAGCTTAGAGTCCTACTGACCTCTTTTCCTTATGGTGTATTGCTGGTTGTCACTTCCCAGAAGATTTACAGCGACGCAATAGAAATGTTCCCCTATTGCACTGACTGCAACCTTCAATACACTGGTGTCTCTCTCCTTTGTGATACTTTTCACTTTATCGCTCAATGAGCTCAGATCTTGTCCATTAAGTTGACGTTTCCATGACAACGACGGTGGAGGTTTGCCGCTGACGATACAAGTTAAATCGACTTGCTCGCCTTCATTACCAGGTATTTGGGTGCTTGTAGGGGTGGATGTGACAATGATCGGACGTGCTGTTAGAAAGAAGTTATTCTCTAGTTTATCCAAACTGTGTAAAGCATTTTTCTGATTGATCAATTGTTTCTGCTTTCTGGTGATTTACAATCAATTTTCGCAACCATGCGACCTTTGAGGGTTTTTTGACAAACAATATTTTAGCCTGCACACTCGCTTCTTTGCCGAAAGCAACGCAAGAAGGCCAGCGGTCTGCAAGGAATCTGACAAACCACTTACAGGCCTGTTACCGGCTAGTGTTGCCCAAAGCATCAAACTTATTTGCAGGCGAAAAACCGGCTCCTACAGCAGAACCAATGACGAAAACCTGCTCGTCGGCTAATAATTTCACTGAAATTGGATTCCCTAGTTTCAAACACAAGACACTGTTAACTGGATTTAATGATACATCCACTGCTGCCAAAGATCAAATGGAAACACTATTAAAACATCTAACGAGTACGAGAACTTACTCTGAACATTAAGCGTGATTCCTTCCGAAACTTCGCCAAGTTCATTTCTAGCCACACATCTGTAGGTTCCATCATTCTTGCCACTAGTGTTGCGTATGGTGCACTGCTCACCTGAGCAATCTAATTTATCACCTCCTATCTTTGTCCAGGTAATTGTTGGCTGCGGCACTCCCTTTGCACGACATATCATCGTAACATTGTTTGTTTCATTAACTGTGAATGCACTTTGATAGAAGGTGATTGTTGGTGGATCTTTTGTAAAACAACAACAAAATAAGAGAGATAAGTGACAAATAAAAATTACCACTAGTGATGAGGCTATTAAAACAATTTTCCATGAAATGCGCAACAAATCAGAGATTGCTTTGCTTTTTCTTTAACTTGCTTTGTGATTGGTACAGAAAAAACTCGTGTCACTCTCTGAACCAATCAGATACAACACCAAAACCAATCACGAATTGGTCGCCCACGTTTTCCCGCGCTTTAGGCGGTTTGGTTATTTTTAGTTCTTATTAGCACTCAATCCATTAACTCTTATAATAAGTTCTCATTGGCAATTCTCCTTACTGTCTGCTATGCAATTCTTATGATCTTAGTTGAGAGAATTCGGTATTAGATCAACTAAAACTCCCCTGATTGTTATTTTTCTCTATTCTCATCATTTGTCTGCTTGATATTGTATTGATATTGTAAGGAGATATTCTGTCTTGATCACTCATGGGAGTTAAAGGGTGAAAAGTATTTTCCTTACGTCTGATTGGCCATTGAAATTACTATGGTTTAGGTTTTGCAACACGCAATTGAAAAGCACTCTGAAAAAATAAATATAACATACGCTTAATAAGTAATTGTGCTCTGGCAGGAGGTCCTTCTCCTAGAGAGTTGGTTCCAGCACAGGAATACCATCCTGCATCAGCCTGAGTCACTGAAGCCTTTGTGAAAGTTGTTGTTACGCAGGCACTGCAACTTTCTCCAGGTATGTCAACTCCATTGAACTGCCACTTTTGTGAAAGGGTGGGCGGATTGCCGATGGTTTTACAAGAGAAGGTTGCTTCTTGTCCCTCAGACAGTGTGAGGTTTTTCGGATGATCAGCATCAGACTGAACAACTGGTCGATCTGAAGATTTAAAAAAACATCATTGAAACTCTATCTCAAAAGTAAATTGATGCAATAGTCTGATACACAAAGAAAAATGCCGAGGTTACTTACTTTCATACATCAGTGACCCAAGTTAAATTGGCAATAAATAATAATCAAATCTAGCACAAATCACTTTCAAATTCAAACGAAAATTAGACAGCTACACAAAGCAGGGGCATAAAATTTGGACTCAGCACTCTGTCAATACCAGCATTACAAGTTAGACCCTGGAATGTGATTGAGTCATGTGGCCCATTTAGTTAGAGCTTCTCCCAGTTCTGTAACATGACGCAGCTCACAAAATTGTCCCTCCCCCTAATTGAGATGCTATTCCAACTCAAGATCACCCCCTGCATTTCATTGGGCTTCCCACTGATACCCATTTATACTCTTGGGTAGAAAGAGGATCTGCAAGAGTAAAGTGTCCTGCCTAAGAACATAACATAGTGACCCACGTCAGGCTCAAGCCAGGAGCTTTTGAGGCAGATTCCAGAGAGTTGACTGTAAGGCCATTGCACATGTCACCTACTTCTATAAGGGCGAGCATGTACTAACAGTATTTAAAAGAATTGGGAAATACTCTGACTTCTAAAAGCATAATTCACAGAGTGATAGCAACAATTTTGCAACCAGTCTATAAGAGTTTTAATTTAACACTACCATGTAATGTACACATACAGTGATTTTACTGTGCTAATTGCCCTCAATTATACGAATAAGGCGCAAGAGATTGTAGCAGAGAATTGGGTTCTGAGGCCATACATGGCATTGCATTAAGACCAAACTCAGCATTTTCCATCATCTTGTGAGAAAAAAAGGATGGTTGCTATCCTGACAAAAATCCCTATTCATTTGATAAAATACTTACAGCGCACTTCAAGATCTGTGGTTTGCCTCCTCTGACCAGCACTGTTGAAAGCCACACAAGAGAAAGTCCCATTCTGCTGCCAGGTTACTTTATCAATAGTCAGATAAGAAAGAGTTCTCAAAAGTTTAGAATTTTGAACTGGTGCAACTTCAGTTGTGATATTGTATGGTGTGCCAGTCAGATTTTTTTCACCCAGCTTCCAAACAATTTGAGCATAAGGTTTGGCTTGAACTGTGCATGCGTAGTTCACAGTTTCATTTTCAGTCTTTGTTTGTTTGTTTGGCAAATTACTCTGGAATGAAGGTGGCACTGTAAAATAAAGACAGGCAAAATGTGTTAATTAAATTAATTTTGCAAAAGATAAAATCATGGCCTCAGTTCATAGATTTGTAATACAAAAAAAGTAAAAGAACTTTAAATACAAAGCTACATATATTTCTGGCTGTGGAATTAGGCGAACAACAGCTTTAACATGGGAGATCAATTGCAGAAAAAAATTAATTTTGCACAAGATTAAATCATGGCCTCACTTCATAAGTTATACTGGAAACAAAGATCAATTGCCAGGAAAATGTGCATGGGGTGTTCATTTGGCAATGGATAAAATCACAGAAAGCTACACATTATACCCAGAATAGTCTGGCTAAATTTCTGAAGCCTGACCTTTCTATTTATCTTTCGCTTTTTGTACAGACCTAGTAAACATTTTGCTTTCACTTCATAACACAGTGAGTGTTGTCAAGGAAGACCCTGGATATACACAAGTAACCTTTACATTTTCCTGTTTTTCACTGACACAAGTTTGGCACTTTTTGACATAACATTTTACAGAAATCGATTTTTGAAAGTTGTTTTTTTCCTTCTAAAAAACTGTGGTTTTACTTCACTTATCCATGGTGGTTGTGTGTTTTGCTAGCACTACATGTATTTCTCACCTATTACTTTGACTGTCAATGATTTTGACGGCCCATCTCCAAGTGCATTTCTTGGCACACAGTTGTATGAGTTATCCTCCTCAGTAAGCTGTACATTAGGAATTGTGTATCTTCCCCCTGAGGTGCCAGCCAGTGGTGTTGTACCCGATGGTGTTGTACGTTGGATGGTGTAAGTTGGAGCAGGATAGCCATTTGCAGTGCAAGTAAGAGTTACACTTGTTCCTTGCACAGCATTATTGTCAGGATTCCCAGTTGTAAAGGTTGTAACAGTTGGTTTATCTGTCAATTAGTAAGAGAAGCTCAGAATCATTCTTAAATTGCATGTTGTAATCAGACACCTGTTACGCCACTTTATCCCCTGACCAACTTGATAAATTTTAACTTTTTCTAGAATGTGTACGCTTCAACCAAAATGAAAGATATTTCCACTAGAGCGATGCCTATGAAAGATATCATCTAGTTAATGAATTACCAAGAGAAGTAACGAGTAACCTTCATCCTTTCACCCCTAAGAGTGACTAGCTCTTATGTCACCCCTGAGTCAAACATTAAGGTCTCAAGAAGAAAGGAAATGATCACCAACTAAAGAACCTCTTGATTGTTTGACAAACTCTCCTTATCAAAACCTTAAGAAATGTATATAGAACAGTATGGAGAATATATATACTGACGTTAACAGGGTGTAAAATGTGAATTTATAAATTGTCATCTCAAATGACTTTCAGGTCAACATGATTTTAAAATTTGTCACTGCATCACTCTAGTTTGAAATAAATTTAACCTGCATCTTATGAAAGTCTGTTTCAAACTTCAAAAGTTCTTCATGGTACTGAACTTACATCTCACATTTACCAGCCTCGTTTCCTGAGCACTACCAAACGTATTTGTTGCCACACATGTATAGTTCCCTGCATTCAACACTTGGGCACTTGCAAGTTGCAAAGTGTTTTGTGAGTCTCCAATTGCTCCTCCATTAAACTTCCATGAGTAGGAGGGTTTTGGAAATCCATCAGCCTGGCATGTGAGGGTTAAGCTTTGACCAAGTTCCACAACTGCTGGATTTGGATTCACTGTGACTTGCTGAGGTGCATCTAGGATGAAAAAGAGGCAGTATGAGCTTACACCTGTCAGTGTACCAGTCTATCCTTACAGAGAACAAAAGACACAATATAGCATGCAGCAACCCAGAAATGCTTCTGAACATCTCATGCAAAGGTTTCGAAAGTAACAGGGCAATGGGTGGACCTACCCAAATATAATGCGCTACATGTAGCTACCTGCTTGTGGCCTTCACACAAATTTGTAAGTTGTCCTCCTAATATACATGTACAGGTACAGTAATTATCTTCAAATTAACTCATATCTAGGCACATTGCAACATACCATAATGGTTTGATTTTGCACCTGCGGTGCTTTTTACTTTTATTACCTCTAGGGAGGATGCTTATTCAGAACAGAGTGCTTATAAGAAAAAAGGTGCTTATTTCTCTTTTGAGGAACAACAACATAGTGTGCCAAACAAAACTGTGATATTTATTTCAGGGGGATCAACAACACAAGAAAAAAATGTGCTTGTTTCCTTGGATCCTTCCTGGCCAGAACAACCAGCCATGCAATCTCTGAGAAATTTTGAGACAGCCTCATTACTTTGAACAACAGTGTACTCACATGGACATAATAGTTGAGAGACTGAGTAGATGACCAATGTTTTTGTAATGAAACTTTACGTAAGCAATTTAAGGAAAATGAAGCATGGTCGATCTCAATTCACATGTAATTTAACATTGCTGTCATTGAAACAGAATAGGGGCACTTAGCACTTATTGGAATAGGGGAGTTTTTCATAAGGAGGTCCTCACTGGATTGAGGGTACTAACTCAAAATGGGCACTGATTAGAATAGTGGTACTTATTGCCAAAAAAAAAAAAATTAGGCTTAGTACAGAGGGGGCGCTTATTGGAAGGAGGGCACTAAATATAATCACTGTCAGTGGTAAATTGGATCAAACCTAAAAATGCAAGAAAATGAAACTGCAGGGGCCTTCACCCCCAAATTTTCCTAGGGAGCCCAGACCCCCTTGGCAACAAGAGGCTCTCCAGACCTTCTCTGCCTGCTACTCTAGAGCACCCATTGGCATCAAATTTTAATTAAACCAGTATCATGACTTGCACAAGATAGCAAATTCAGCAAACATATTTCACAAATTTACAACATGGTCCAGTTCATGACAAATAACATAACTTACAGTTGACCAATAAGAAAGCAGATTTTCTATCTCCAGTTCCTACTGCATTTGTACCATCACACGAGTATTGCCCAGCACTTCCCTTCTTAGCATTCTTGATCGTCAGTCTGCTTTCTGTATCGCTAATTTTCAAAGTTTCAAAATCTTGTGAATTGGATATCTCATTGCCATCCTTAAACCATTTGTATGTGGTTGCAATGGGAAATGCTTCTGTGATACACAGAAATGTGGTAGTACGACCTTCTACGACAGTTTGATTACTGCTCAAACTGTTTGTTTTGTGCACAGGACGGACTGTAAGATAAAAATATGAAAACATTAAAGGAAATCTTTATCATTGGCTTACATAAGGATTACGTGATAGAGCTACAGTACACTTTACAGCACTAAATGTATACTTCTGTTATAGACTGGACTTTCTATTGGTTTCCCAGCCTAATAACCCATGCAGAATGTAACAAAATCATGAGAATTGTTTATCAACCACAAACTAAAGGTGAGAGTCTTACAAACTTTTCTTGTGTTCTTCCAACATCTCAAGTGGGTTATTACACCCAGTAAATCAGTAGAAAATTAGATAAACTGCTTTCACAAAATGAAGTTAAAACATTTCAATTTTCTATGGGTTTAAGGGTGCAGTAATCATAGTTTTTTTCCCAATCAATCAGCACTTATATCTCAGTTATTTACCCCTTTAACTCCCATGAGTGACCAAGACAGAATTTCTCCTTAGAATATCAATAAAATATAAACCAAATAAATCATGAGAATAAAGAAAAATATCAATTTGGAGATAATTAGTTGATCCAATACTAAATTCTCTGAACTAACTTTTTAAGAATTGTATGGTTGACAGTAAGGAGAATTACAAATTTGATCTGGGAGTTGAAGGGTTCATAAACAGGAATAGTCACAACAATTTTCAATCTTTCTCAAAATTACCTTAACATGAACAATTGACAAAATGATCCCATGAACATGAAGAAAATGTTTTAACAGATGTCCTGGGAGATAATGTTCAGGGCTGACTGTCAACGACATTCATTCTTTGTATAACAGGTATCATAAAATGTCCTCATAGATAAAAATTCAACTAAAGAACCACATCATTTTGACTTTTAACTGAAGTATTGTGAAAATGTGGTTGGTTTTGAAATTACAGAACACACCAAAAAAAGAAATTAGGTGAACTTGAATTCAATCCTGGACTCACAAGAAACAGAGTTCTGAAAGTTCAAAACCTCTTCTACATGTTACTATTCATGCATGTCTTTGTTGGCCATTTCAATCTGAGAATTTGTCCCTGATCCCCTCTAAATAATGTATATCAACTGTACATGTATGTCGTCCAATATTTATTGCATTCAGTCTTGGATATACATGTACATTTTCAAAAGATAAGTACACATGTGATTGTTTGTCTCACAATGTGGTCACTATGCTCGTGGATCGTGATGTTTGAACTGCATACTGCTTCTCTTTTTTAGGCCATGAGGGAGATTGTGTAATTGCATCACCTATCAACTGTTGTGCTCAGCTGTGACTTTTTTTCTTAGCAGTTTATCACACGTTTCTTTGTTGGGCATTTCTATCAATTTGTCCATGATACCTTGTAAGCTGGTAATTTCCTCAGTCTTACTACCCATCTATTTAACATTGTCAGTATCATAATAGTAAACAAAATGTATGAAATAAACTATCCAGGGAAAAGAATAAAAGTAGGTATTGTGAGTTGACTTACATCTAACTGTAACCTGAACAGTGTAAGAGTCACTGTACTGGCCAAGAGTTGGAACATTAATGACTGCTTCACATCTGTACGTCCCTGCATCATTCCTGCTGGCTGATGTTATTGTGTAGTTGGAGTTGTTTGGATCTTCCTGAATCTTTACACTATCTTTATACCACCTGTAAGTGGGTTTGGGGTTGCCACTGGCCACACAAAACAATGTTCTTGTGGCACCTTCATCCAAAGTTGGAGCTGTTGTAGTTTTGAGTGTAATTGTTGGGCTCACTATGTAAAACAATGAATTTTTATTAACATAAAGGTTAGATAATCAAGGAATTACTACAGTATACTAAAATATTTTTTGAATTACCAGATAGAAGAGTTTCAGTACTAGGGTTCAAATCTATCCTTAAGCTTTGACACACTTGACAATTTCTATATTCCCAATGCAGTGATCAGCAAAAATCACTGGGTGTGCTTGAGGCAACAATGGCAATTTCCATGGATTGCTATGATAGGCATGTAGGATTGCTGATATCTGGCATGTCAGATATCAATGATTTTTGCTGGTGATCAAATTGGCTGCTTGCAATCTGTGGAAAAAATCACCAAGTGTGTCACCAGCTTTAGTTAAAAAACATCAAAACTAAGAAATATTTGTGCCACCAATATTAATAGTAATTTAACTTAGTTGAGGAACTTACCAACAACAACTAGTTCAGCAGTATCCTGAATCACAGGAGGGACACCAGAAGTGAAAATCACTTGACAATCAAAATCACCGTTGTCCTTTGTCTGAACATTGGATATTCTAAGTGTTGCATCCCCTGATACTTGATACTGTGAATTGAGAACGGAGACTTGCCCATTTGATTGCTTAGAAGCAACCCAAACATTATTGTGAAGCCACATTACTTGACTGACTGTTTTCCCATTTCTGTTGAAATTCCATGTTAAGGATGCAGATTGACCCTTTAACTGATACTCGGGACTGTTTGGTTTACTTGTGAAACTTTGACTGTCTGGAAATATACAAAGGAATAAAAAAGATGTTTTAATGACTGTATAAGGATAAAAGACTATCAAGAGAAATTCACAGCTTGCTTTACTCAAAGGTACCAATTAGGAACTCAAATCTCAAAACATGGTAAGTAGAAAATTTTAATCAAGTTTTTTTTTAAGGTGGAGATGACAATTTTTAAGAGTTGGAGCATTCTTCTATTTTAACCTTTTAACTCCCATGATTAACCAAGACAGAATTTCTCCTTACCATATCAAAATAACATCAAGTAGACAAGAGATGAGAATATGGAAAAATATCAATTAGAGTATAAGTAGTTGATCCAATACCAAGTTCTCAGAATTAAAATCTTAGAATTGTATAGCAGGAAGTAAGAGAATTACCAACAAGATCTTATATGATAGGACAAAAAGAAGATGAGAAGCACTCAAGAAGTTTACAGAGCTTGAAAGATTTGTAAGAGTTGCTGCTTACATAGGTGAAAACAACTCTAACCTCCTAACAACAAAGAACTGTCTAAAACTTTCCAAGTGCTTTTTATTTCAATGAAGACACTTTTAATTCAAGAACATCCTCAACATGGTATTTTAAAAGTTGTACCAAGAGAAATTGCCTCTACTACTAGTACACTTTACTCATCAATTTTATTATCAGCAAGTATAATAGGAAGATGAAGTGGGCTTGCTTATCAAAATATTCCCAAAAAGAGAGCCAGTCATTTTGGAATGAATTGGTGGAATGGAATGGGTACCCTGTGCCACATTTCAACCATTTATGCAAGAATAGTGGATGAATGAAATATGTCCCTTCAGCTTTACACAGAGCAAATAGAACTTGCTAAAGCAGACTTGAATGAATCTTGCACTGATGTAGCATAATGATCAATTTCTACACAGCCTACAAGAATTACCCAAACATTGAATGGTTTGCAATCCTAGATTTACTTTAATCAGATTCCAAACTTAATCAGTTAATATCATTAGAGCATTTGTAACAGCTGCACAGTCCTTGTTTTAAGTGTTTGATAAAATGGTTTCACTTAGTTGGCTTCCCAAGTAGCGATTGTACAGGCATGAAAAATAAATTACATTTTGTTATAAGCGGTTCACTGGTCACTAAAGCCGATGGCAAGTGATCCGTTGCTTTCATTGCTCAACTTTTCTGTATGATAATAACTTTCATCATGAATAACACTCCTGTTTGGTTTACGTTGGAGCAAGACTATTTTGAAATCAAACTGGCCGTACACTTTCAAATCAGCCAATATATAATTATTCGCCCAATTACTCCTCATTTGCTCAATTTATCATTATCGTTACAAAAGCACGGTGTATGACGAGTTTACAATATAAGACAAGTACAAAATAGACTTGATGTAAATTCGCTGCAAGTTTGAAGAAGACTTAGTGAAATGCTCTTGAATCTAAAACAAACAAATAACTGCTGGGCAATACATTCAAGTTAAACCTAAGTAAAATGTGCTGAAATTAAGAATAATTTTAACAAACTGGAGGAGATATTAGCGCATAATAAGCTGAAATCCGTTATCTGTGGCTTGTAACAAGCTTATATATTCGAAGTAAGATTAGATGGGAGAGCCGAAACCTATACAACGCAAATGACATGAAATATTGAGCTAACAATGTAAGGCTTTACCTAAATAGTCAACACAGGTACAATAATTTACTCCCTTAACACAGAGTTCATGTACGTGTGATGTTAGCAAGTTACCAGCCACGTTCACGATTGTTTTTGGTCGAGCATGCCTCTAATCGAGGTGTACTTAACAGCGACGGCACCCTCAAATAGGGCTCATCAAAATGACAAGAAAAGCAATCATTATAATTCCTAACTTCCGATCAAAGCAATTTATTTACTTCTCAATTTTGGAACTACTGAAAACTCCTGAGAAACTTCGCGATTGCATAAACATTCAAACTCATCGAAGGTCGAGTGCAGTACACGAATCGTGCGTATGTTATCAATATTACTCACCTACAAACCGCAATCCACCGATAGATAACAAAGCCACGAGTCTAAAATACACCATAAACATCTCTATCACCGTTTTATGGTCCTAACAAGACTTTCGAAAATACGTTTGAACGTCACTCTCGATTCACCGATGCATGTTTTGCACTATTATCAGGAAACAGGGAAAACAATGCTTATCAACGGTGGATGCCTAAGAGAAACCTCGTGACCAATAAGAGAGCATTCTGGAAGTCATGTGATCCGTATTCGAATGACCTCAGCATTGTGGGAGTGAAAATGATGGATAAAAATAACAGTGATGAGCAAAATTGAATGGAATCTTTGGAATGACCACTTAATAAATTTATGACTCGCCCGGAGGAAATCGGGTAGGATTTTACAACCACGGTCACCAAATTAACGCTTTTAATCGTCGAAAATATTACAATGGACAAATGAACATTTACACTCAAGTTTTGTATTGAACACGGAGATTTCACGCGATGAAAACAGTGATCTTACAGGCGGGAAAGATTGCGTGACCAGGTATTTGGACAAGTCTGTAATATTACAAGTAATATTGCGACAGTAAAGAAAGTAGAATCCAACGGTGTCTAATATTGTATAAAGTTCGTTTTTCTTCTTTTTCTAATCGGCGTTTTATGTTTACAATCTTAGGGCTCTAGAGATCAGGGCAAGATTAACATTTGTATTGTCGGCCTGATCGCGACTAAGGGAGATTTTCCGTAAAATTTTCATGCACTTTCAAGCGGAGAGAGGATAGGAATACAGCGAAATACTAAATAGCGGATGTTGTTGAATTTAGAAAGCTAATTTTAGGGCTAAAATTATTAATGGTTTATGATGGATTGACAAAAATTATTTGTTAGCCGTGAAAGGGTCAATGGTTTCTCATTTTGGACTCGTGGCATTTAGTTGACAGATTAGCCGAATGTTTCCGTACAAAAGAAACATCATTGACCAATCACGAATTGTTCCGGAAACCTACGCAAATTTTAGCGCATTTCTAGATACAGTGTCCCGGAGACCTAAGCAATTATTTAGCACGTTTTTAGATACGGTGTAAGGTGCGAAATTCATCACGTCCCCAATCGCGAATTGTTCTGGAAGCCTGTAAGATTTTCTGGCATTAGCAATCAAGGACTGAAATATACCTTAATACAGGTCAATAAGATGAGATAAGGTGCTATTACGTCTTGAATTACTGATTAGCCAATTTATTCTACAAGATGGAAGCTGATAAGGCAGTCGTCCCGCCATAGCTGCATAGACCTTCTTCCCCGGGAATCATCTAGCACGCTCATTAAAACAAGCAAACAACAAACAAAAATCTACCACTGCTGATATTTTGAACCTCCGATGTTTCTTGATACATAAACAAGTGCCACAGCGATTTTACAAAATTTCCAACTTCCCTCTCCACCCATTCTTTCGGGTGCGTCAGTCTTCTGCGGCATTCAGTAAAGTACAGGATTATGGTAGATCTAAAATGATTGTGGTGCCAGCTATCTATCCGATTTTTAATCGGCTTAGCTTATTTAACCGCTCGTATTGTCCTGATTTCGTTAACTAAGTTCCAGAAAAAATAATTTTATTCAAAATATTTTTGCTGAGTTGGGTTCGACTCAAAGCTGGCAGACGATACGGATTGATACTCGCGATAAGTTCAGTGACTTTCGATTCTACTCGTGACCCTTCGGTGCTTTGTCCCGTTTGGTCGGTCATCGATCAAAGACGAACGTCGCACTCGTGTTACAGTCGTTTGCAGTGTCTGCGTTTTACTATCGGGTGTAAGATCAGACAATTTCTCGCAGTCATCGTCTGCTCTGAGATGGGACTGGTTTTCTGAAAGTAAAAGATGAGGAAAACCGTGCACTTCTAAGAGATTTGAACAATCCAAGAAACAAAGCCGTGAAAGGGAAGAAAAAGTTCTACCGGGTTCATGAAATTTTGCCTACCGAAAAGGCTGTTTCGGCCACAATTTCGCGATCGTCATTTAGAGATGAATTTCTCAACGATATATTGCAAATTCTAGATATCCAGGGAAAACGCTGGCAAGAGGAATATGTGATGCTAACTGATCTAGATTTAATTGTAGTCTACGTTTTGACCTATACAACAAAAAACTATGATCGAAGTTTCAAATTTTACGAAATCATTACGATAACACAGCAAAGATACATATTGAGTAAATCAACATTTATTTGGAAAATTCTTGTACCACAAATTAACTTGGTTGAAAAATTGTGGATGGCAAGGTTAAGCTTAACATTCCAACTATCTAAAATTTATAAAGGGGTAAGTTTCTAAAGAAACTGTGGTGCTGCGTCGGTGGGGAGGTGTAACAAGATCATTTGGTTGTAAATAGAAAAAGAGAGATGGTAAGTTTTGAGCTCGGTTGAGAAATAAAAAAAGATGTTTTTCGTCTTGTCACGAGGGCGGGACCAAGATAAAATTCTAAGTCCCCACTAGGAATCGAACCTCAAAGCTTCGGATTCCGCGCTCCGATGTTCTTCCACTGAGCCACAGAGACTCTGTGGTGAGCGGGCCTATTATGGAGTTTTCAAAATAATTTGGTGTTATCAACTCAACTGAGTTGATAATGTAAATTGGCCACCGCAAAGAGTTTCAGATCTGACGTTTTGAGCGCAAACCCTTCGTCAGCTCTTTCTGATCCAAAATTTTATTCCTATTTGTACTTGCAGTATTATCTAATTCATTCTTCTACCAGACTTAGTCAAATTCTAGCATGGAGCATTCTCATTTGCCTTCACGTATTAAAAATAAATTCAATGTTTGGGGATTCGATGCCAAACGGGGTTCTTGTCAAAGAGTTGGAACTCTTCGTCACACAGATCGATTTCCTTCCCCGCGTGAACTTTGTTGCACCTGAAAAATCCGATAATTTACTCTAAGAGAGAATGAAGCTCGGAACATTATCTTAACTTCAATCGACAGACAAATTCCTTTTGAAAATAACGCAAAATTACTATTTTGTCTCTCTGCCTCGCCCTTGACACCTTTAAACGAAAAAGTGAAGCCACATAACAATTTTTAGGTTCATTTCAAACAGTTGCTGACGTCGGATCAAAAAGCAAACATGAGCAAAACATAAAAAACATTACACTTGTAACTCTCTCGAGAGATAACGTAATCTAAAATTTGCGTAAAATCACTGATTTCCAAGCTTGTCATTTACAATCCAATTTCAATTTCCTCCACCCGTAACCAGCCATGTTCCTTTTCAGATCATTCGTACCTCTATAAACTATTATATTAAAATATTTCTATCTACTTATTGAGTTTTTTAACGTCTTGACGACTTAAAAATGTTTTGAGGTTGCGGATTTCTTTCAGGAATCAGCCTGCAGCCACATCATGATATGTTGCTGAATTTGGTGCCTGGCCTCCACCAGCTGTGGAGGGTCTGACGGATTAGCTGGATACATGTTGGCGCAGTGAGCAGTACCTAGAACATTAAAAATAAAATAATGACAACTTTCAGTAACACAAACACGAAGGACCAGTTATAATTTATTACTTAAGGGGGGTGGAGGTGAGAAAAATTTTGGGAGTCACATGGTTTTCAGGGGGGAACGGAGAGGGGTCAGTCTTTGCCAAAGTATAAAGGAGGATTATACAAAATTTACTCCCAAGTACCTGCCTATGAAGGAAAGGGGAGGGAGGGTATAAGAATTATGCAGAACTATTGGGGGGATCAGGTAAATTTTACTTTGACAGTATAAAAATCCTTCGACCCCACACGTGAAAAATGCTGACATTACGGTGACTTTTCTCTAAGGTTTCATAGCGTCTACTTTGGAAGAAAAAACGCACGTGTAGCTGGTTGTTTTTTGAATGCTCCCACGCTAAAATACTTATCTCTCTTGGCTTCACAGAAACTGATGTAAACACTGATCTCCACCACAATAAAGGAAAAACCTTAAAGATACGTTATAGCAAAACCAAGAACAACTATCATAACAAAAAAACGTGCTGACAGTTTTTCGAATGCATGCATATGGCTAAACGCGTATTGCACCTTCTTTTACACACCTTCAATAAAAACGGCTTGTTCTGTAGCAGACACATCCTTTGTTATACCAAGTGCATGCCACGGATCGATGGAGCCATTCGGGAAAACGATCTGATTTACAGATAAACAATAAAGAAAAATGCCATTTTCACACATAACACTCTGAGAAACTGTACAAATGAAGAGTCTGGAGGCTAATTAATTGTTAAGTTTTCGAGTTAGCCTCCCATTGACCAGGTGTTGGGAAAAACATAACACTGGAAATGATCCTGCAAGGATCCCTCGACCTGGAGTCCAACGCAGTAACCGCTTAGCAACCGCGTCTTCCGAAGAATAATGGTCACAAAAAATGAAATTCAAAATTTGTTCCACAATAACATCAACTGTGATCTTCTTTAAGGATACGGGAAAACGAATTTTGGTGTCTTTGTGGTGCACGAAACCCAGATGGAAATATGAGACATATACGTGTGAGATACCAATTGATCCGAGTTGCATGTCAACTGACCTTACTGGCGGCAATGCCATACCCTCCGTAGTTAGTATTTGTCTGAGTCACACCGCTTCGGATGTTCTCTTCATTAAACTGGGCACCATAAATATCCATGCATTGTTGAATTGAATACCTGAAAAAAAAACATTTGGAACATATGTCTTGATAAAGACAGTATTGGAGAACAGGTAGGCGATGTTATGTTTCTGAGATACTATATGTCCAACAAAAACACTGAGGAGAACAGTAAAAGTTGTTTTTCTCTTGACAACAACGTTTGGCGTCTTTGATACATAAATGGATCTGGTTGTGGCGGAAAGAGTTCGTGACGCGCTTTTCGATTGAGCGTCAAAAAACCAAAACCAAAGCTGTCGCAACAGCTAATCAGAAGAAAGGAAAATACCTTTACGAGCCAATGAGAGCTCAAGTAAAAGCAAGCTAACTACCTAAAGTGCGGAAAACGCGGGCGACCAAGTCGTGATTGGTTTTAATTTTGCATTTATTTGGTTGAGAGAGAGTGGTGCGGGTGTTGTAGACCAATCACAGAGCGAAACCAATGCAATTTGGATAACTTCCCAACACTCAATTGGAAATTAATCCATTACATTTTTAACTAGCAGTCATTACTTTGAAGCCAGGACATTTAGGTGCGTTGAGAGGAATTTCTTTCAAGCACACCGAGATTCTATCTTGATATGATGTACGTCTTTGTTTTTTTCGGTAAATACTGTACTGCTATCATGTACATACTTCAAAGGGAATAGATCTCCAAACGGCTGCTTCTCAGAGTCTGAGGTCTGATAAAATCCAAATTCTGTGCATGTCTGATACATCCATTGGCGACCTGGTTAACAACATAAAAAAGCTTTTAACAAAATAAGATAAATAAAGAACCAAAATAACACGACTTTTGTAAATATTCTTCTTTAAAAAGAAAAGCGCGAAAACACACAACTTTCGTGCGCTGTTGTCGGGTATTATTGAAGTTCTCCACTTCGATCTCAGTGTTAAGAGGGAAGCATAGCAAAGTCGCCCGAAATAAAAATATTACTCGTCAGAAAAAAAAACATTCGTAGGACATACATGTAGCCAAGAAAAACGTTTTCTAAGTTGTAGTAAATGACGACCATTGGGGCGGCTGTCACATTTTTTCTCGAGAGAAGGACATCTTCCCTAACTTTTCTCGGAGACAAAAATTAAAAAGACATCTGAGAAATTACGCAAATGCTTATCTCAAGTAACTCTGGACTAGAAACATCACGCAATGAGAACGTTACAGCTTTTATGTAACCGCCGAACACAATTCGGCAAATGCGCGACTTTCTGCGCAAATTTTTAGTCGCCATTTTCCCCCTCTCGCCATGGCGACCAAGATAGTCGCAACTTAATTAGAGCGCTAATTAACTCTGTACAGCATGTGAATATTTAAAAATTTCATGATGAGTTTACCTCCTTCAGATGCACTGCTGCTCCAAGATGTGTTCTGTAAAGCTGCTATAAAATTCTTGTAGTTTGAATCAAGGCATTGTTCGTGGTATGTGTGAAGCATCAGCGAGTTCACTTTAGCATAACGAGCTAACGGAGCTCCGATGCCTTCGTCATTCATGATGCCACACAATGTTCTAATTGTAATGTTAGTACCGATGGCACCCTTAAAAAAAAGCATCAGAGTAGAATTATAACATTCGTCACGCACCACTGCAATGGTTTAAACTACAGTTAACTTACCCCAATCTATTGTACGTAGATCGATTAGAAGCTTCCACTTCCCCCCCCAAATTCGGCCCAAAACTGCGTTCAAATGCCCACCCGATATTGAACGGAACGATTTTTTTCTGTGACTGACGAATGTTGTAAAATTTAGCAAGATCATTTATTAGGTTCTAGTGTTGCCGTTGGATTTTTTTCGCTTGAAGGCATCGTCCTATAATGTGAATATTGTCTTTCTAAGCCTTTCTCTAACAAAAGCAGACTCTTCACCTGTAAACTCCTCAATTACATCATGTGTATCATGCAAGAAAGGCCTGATACTTCCGGTTCAAATGCCCCACCCCACCCAGGCAAGTTCAAATTCCTACCCCCATGGGCTGCCCAAGAGGAGGGATGTTGAAACTTCAGATTGATTCTTTAACCCCTTGGAGTGACTAGTATCTATTTTCTCCTTAAATCAACTCTGAATCAGACATTAATGTCACAAGAATAAAGGAAATGACCACCAACAAAAGAAGGTCCTGATTGTTACATAAATTCTCTTTGTCAACACCTTAGGAAATGTATAGAGAACAGTATGGAGAATGTGTATACTGATGTGTAGGGTGTAGAGGGTAAAGCAGACAGGTAATGAGACTGAGAAAAATGTCAAAGGAGAGATATGACTTGACTTAACACTAAATTCTCAAAAAACAACATCATAAGAAATGTATGACAGACAGTAAGGAGAATAAATAAAAAGGGCTTGAGAGTGAAAGAACTAATCAGCTTAACTGACCTCAAATGCCCTGTTATCCTTGTTATATTGAACAACACCAGCAAAATTTCCAGACAAATCATTTGCAAAAGTTGCCACGTCATTGACATTGTCTTTATCAAGGGGTTCACAGAGCCTACGAGTAAAATGAAAATCAATTAACCCTTTAACTCCCATGAGTGATCAAGAGATAATTTCTCCTTACAATATCAATACAATATCAACCAGATAAGTGATGAAAATAAAGAAAAATATAAATTTGGGGATAATTAGTTAACCCAATACTGAATTCTCTGAACTAACATTATAAGAATTGTATGGTTGACAGTAAGGAAAATGACAAATCTGATCTGAGAGTTAAAGGATCAAGGTATTTGAGTACAGTTTATAGGGTCATAAACCAAATATTTTGTATGATCACCGATGCTTATTATGAGGGAAGTTACAGCAAATATACATGACAACAAGTGTTTGTAATTTTGTCATGTCTGTGTCAGAAATAACTCAAAACGAGGTTGCTGAGTGGCTGACAGCGGACAGTGAACAGTGGTTCCTTTGAAAGTTTCACGCAAAAGTCACCCATACTATCCTAACTTACTGTTTCAAATTTGGAACAAAATGAAAATTACTGCAAGTTAAGCACGTTCAAGGCTTAGTCCATGCTCAGATATCGTCAGTAATGAAAATGAAATCATGACAAAAAATCCAAATACAGGAAATTTACTCACTCAAATAGCTCTGTGAGTTGCTTTGCACCTTCCTCTGTGGTTAGTAATGCCTGCATTGTTTTTGTTGCATTATCAATATTTCTCACACAGTCTTGACCTGTTGTTTCAAGTGAGGCAGTAACAACATCCATGTATTGAGGAAAGTTGACTGTGGCAAAGACAGGAGCACTTGAAGCAACAGCCCCTACAAGGAAAATGAAAAATACATGTACACATGACAGAAATACTTCACTTACTTTTTAAAATTCAGAAAGTGGTTAAAATATGTGGATCACAATCAATTTGTCTAAATGACCAACTGAGGCATGGCGCATGTTCTCGTTGGTAAATGGGTAGGTGTAGATGGAGATATGTTAAAATGATGGTGATGTTTCAGATCTATGCATACTCTGACAGGTATGATATAAAGACAGCTAACCACTCTTCTTTCTGACAAACCTTTTGAAACCAATTATGGTCAAGAATTTTGTTATAGTTTTGATTAACTTAGTAATTTGTCCAGAGACTTCTGAAATGACTTGACTTAGTACATTGTTATCACAAGCTTCTTCTAGTTTGCCAATGTTTTGCTCAATGCAAACATAACAATGTGATTACATTTTATTAGTTATGGTTTTATCATATAAATTCAGTAATGACAGTAAAACAGTCTGAATAAAGGGGGTAAGTTTCTAAAGAAAGTGTGGTGCTGTCGGTGTCAGTGGGAGAGGACAACAGGGCAGTTAAGTATTATCAATAAGTTGAAAGTGTAAATTGGCTACCATAAAAAGAGTTTTAAAGCTGAAGTTTGAGCATTATCCCTTCATTAGAGCAAAGGGCTCTGACAAAGGGCTAACCTACAAAACGCCAGCTTTGAAACTCTTAAAAGAGGCCAATTTACGTTATGAACTCAGTTGATAATACTAACTTACCCAGTGAAACAGTCTACCCACCCTGCACCAGATGCGGATACTTGAGTCTGTACCAGGCTGATAATGACCCAGGGTATGAGCCACCAAATGATATCCATTTGCTGTTTGTCAGATTAAACTTCAAAGCCATTTCCTGACAAAATGTTGCCAGATCTGCCAATGCTTGTTCACTATTTAGATACTTAAGGCTTGAATCACTCATATCACTGGAAAAATGGAGAACAAATTTTGCATCAGGCTTTTTTTTTGATAATTTTTCAGGTGAGGGTAAAATTACCTAAAGCCAGTTACAGTGTAGAGGGAGGTCCATGTTTAGTTTTCAGGTAGGGAGGCCCTTGCATCCGCATTTTGTGTTTCAACCACAAAAGTTGAGTGGATACTGTATTTCTTTGCTCTCTAATATGCTCCGTCCCCCAAATAAGCACCCACCCCCCAAACAATAACTTCAAACAAGCATCCCCCTCAAATGACCCCAATGCACCCTTACTTTCCTAAAGAGTAGGGATAGAAGGTAAACCTGTTTCTACTGCCACTTTATTCAAAACTTTTTAAGCTTCATATATTAAACAGAATCAGTACAAGAGAACAATGATGAAGTACCCTCTTCCCAATTATTTAAGCTAAAATTTTAAATAAGCACCCAGGTGCTAATTCAAGAAAATAAGGCAAATAACAAGATGTACCTAACCCTTTAACTCCCAGGATCTGATTGTAAATTCTCCCCTCTACTTGCTACACATTTCCTTGTAAATAAGTTGTGAGAATTTGGTGTGAGATCAAGGTAACAACCTCTAAATGATAAGTTTGAATATTCTCATTACCTGTCTCTTGGATGATATAAGGATATTCTGGGGAGAAGTTTCATGTTGATCATTTCTGAGAGTTAAAGAGTTAATCTTTCAGTTTTGAGAGATATACCACCTCTGCCCCTCCCTCAAGGCCTACATGGGACATGGCCAACAAGCTACATGCTCAAGGCCTGCTTATAAGAAAACCCAAATCAATTTTTGACTAGGCTGTTCAAATTTCCCCTCACTTCCTGGTAGGTATCAGCTGTGCAAGTCAGTGTGCTGTAAACTAGGAAGAGAGGTCCGGTCCAGATGACTACCATTTCAAGTCATGGTGATGTATTAGTGGGCAAGAGATTTTAATTTTGTAGTATCTCTCTCCACTCACAAGCCCCAAAAATTACTGAGTGGGGGGGGGGGAGGGATAATCTATGATGGACTGACATCTAATCCAGGGGGGAGTGGCTATTCACCTGGTCACTTCACACTTCAGGATCCAGATAAACCTTGACTACATAGACCACTATGCTTGAGTGCAGACTTTATCTTTTACCATCCTTTTTCTGTTATCAGATTCCTCTATGGGAAAGAAGAACCCTCTAAAATTTGCCCCACTCTCCCAAAGTATGACTTTGTAGCTCAGTTGGTAGTGGTGCGGTGCTAGTGTCTAAGAGGCATGAAGTTAATTTAATTAAATCCTGTCGAAGTCTCAATTTTTCCAAGCTTCTTTTTTGCAATTGCTGAAATTGCAGTCCACCTGCGAGAATGAGTGTCATTTTCCTCCTTTCAAGTCCTTTAACCTCTTAAAGTGATTAGCATCTAACTTCTCCTTACAATATCATCCCTGAATCACACATTAGGGTCACAAAAAAAAGCTTATGATCACTAACTAAAGAAGCTCTTGACTGTTAAACAAATTCTCTATGTCAGAACCTTAGGAAATGTATGGAGAAAACTATGGAGAATATCCATACTGATATAAGTGTGTAAAGGGGTAAAGACCTTGGTACATAAATACTCCACTATTTGTTTACAGTTAATCAAAAGTTTACACAATCCTGCAAATGTTCTTCCCTCGCTTACTCACCTCGTTGGGCGACTTTCGCCGTAAAATCTATGCTCCAAAAGGAAGGTAAAAGCACCAAAATCTTCAGCATTCTTCATCATATCCCCCACAGTCAGCCATATAGGGTTCGCCGTTCCTTCTCCACCGATCATAACGAAAACCGGTCCATCTGGTTTCGTGTGGAAGGCGTCGTTATAAAAGAACCTCTGCTGCCAAGTTTTTGTATTGAGTCATCAAAGTGATCCAACCTCTGAGTAAACCAATGTGCTTCAGGAAGCTTTTGATTCACGTGTTCTGCTGGAGGAGCAACTAACATGCCACCTTTCGGTCGGCCACGGAGAAATCGCAGCGAAGCATGGGAGCAGTTAGTTAGTCCAAGAACAACAGTGAATATCAAGCAAAGTGAGGCACTCGAGGCATATGGCATGTTGCTTGGAGTTGGTGCGAAACTGAAAGGATGCTTCAGCTTTGAAAGCGTTGTGACTTGTCACAGGGATATCACGTGAGCGCGCTATTATGATGGCTAAAATTACCCCAGACTTGCCAACTTTCTCGTGTCACGTCGTTCGACATCGCTGCGTCACGCAACTAACCCTGTGGATTTGTGTAGCGCACAATAAAACTTTGTCGAACATTGAAATATAGAAAAATCATGTCTATGGATGGGTAAAAATCAGTTAGGAGGGAACACAGAGGAAAGAGGGAAGGGATTGGTGTTGATTTTGGTAATTATGGACACCTTATTCGGTGCATTCGATGGTGCAGTATGCGCGGATATTTTTGCGAGTTACGTAGTACTTTTCTGAGCTCCCTCATTGGCGAGGAAAAATCGGAGCAGTGAGCAAACTTTCCGCTCATATTATATGCTAAACCATTCAAGGACGAATATATCATTCCGCAATTTTATCTTTTTTAAAGTATTTTGGCCTCCTTCAAAACAAGCCAACTGGGAGCCGGTCAATGTGTTGGGTCCAAATGAACCATCCAAGTGATGAATGATGATTTTAGGTATATGAAATTCATATATTTGCACGGCGGCGAAGAAACTAAATTAAGAGATCCTCGCAGCTAAGAACACTACTGAACTAGTAATTGAAAATAGGACCTGAAAAAAAATTACTTTTCAACTAGAAGTTCAGTAGTGTTCTTGGGCTGCGAGGATCTCTTAATTTCGTTTCTTCACTGCAGCGCAAATATGTGAATTTCACATATCTAAAATCATCATTCATCAATTGATGGTTTATTTGGACCAAAAAACATTGCTCAGCTCCCAGTTGGCTTGTTAGCTCAGTTGGTAGAGCGCACCGGCATCGCAGAGGTCATGGGTTCAAATCCCGTACAGGCATGAATTTTTTTTCAGGTCCTATTTTTTAACAACTACTTCGGCAGTGTTCTTAGTTGCGAGGATCTCTCAACTTCGTTTCTTCACCGCAGTGCAAATATATGAATTTCATATATCTAAAGTTGTTTCTTTTTCCTCCATATTTTATATTTTTGCGTTGTATTACAGTGGTGTGTACCATAGTGTACTTTGCGCATTCTGTCTGTTCCCTTATATGGTGAGATGACGGAATAGTGGAATAATTAAGCACTTGTGATACCCAAGACATATCAAAACTATTTGTAGAGCACGAGGTAAACACATTTATATTTACTGTAAACAAAAGGATAAAACGCTAATTTCCTACCCGGCTTTTTATATGGGAGCTAGGAAACTTAGCAAAACCATTGAGTTTTGCTTTTTTTTTTTTTTCGCCAGAGGAAATAGTCGAAAGACCTTGGAACTTACAAAGCAAAGAGACGAAGCGCGGCTAGTTAGCCATTTGCTAACTTAATTTGTGAGAGCTCCGTTTTTTTTTTTTTGCATTTTGAAAATACAATTATGGCCTTCTCGTGACAAACCATTCTCGCATTGATGCATACTTCGTCACATTTTCTAAGGTACTGGGCTCTCAAGGAACTCCGCTCTTTCGATGAATCTTCAAAACAGCTCGTCAAAATTTACTTCTTTAAAAAGCGCTATTTGACTGTAGAAGTTCAACTAATCCCTCACGAGGCGGGCAAATGGCGCCCAGCAGGGCCTCTTTTCATCATATTATTATTATTATTATTATTATTATTATTATTATTATTATTATTCGTCTCTTATTCTTTCCCTTGGGTCAATGAAATAAGCGCAAATAAACGGCCACCCGTGAGCTCACCGCTGGCGGCGATGCAAGTGGAAATAAGGCATATGAAGATGAGGAGCAGAGGAATTTATTTTTATTGTATTTCAATTTGAATTAACCACGCATTTAAATTGCTTATTGACCGTCAGAACATGCCATCGCATTGCGTGACTGCATGGTCCTATCCAACAAACGAAAACCGCATACAGTGGTCACTGAGGACTCAGCGTTATTACTTACATTTCACTCTTGACCCTTCGTGAATAACACGGAATTCCTCGCTTTCCGACCGTGCCTCGAACGGAAATATTCGCTTGTCGCGAACAAAGTTTTAACAGACTTGTGATGCACTGCACGTACCAACGGTAAATCAGCAGGATCGAGTCACTCTGCATTTGAACGATTAATTCAACTGGAAGAATAGCCAAGCGTAACTCTTTTTCTCCCTTTGCTACAGGCAAGGCAAAAAGAAGGGAGATTGAACTCGGCTTCGCACTAGCAATGCCTAATGTGCTGACATGGAGGTTGATAAGATTAAAAACTTGACTCCTCAACCCTTACACTCCCACGAGAAACGAAGACAATAGTCTCCTTACAATACAATATTAAGGAGACAAGTGATGAGAATAAAGAAAAATATCAATGAGAGGATTATTGGTTGATCAAATACCAAATTCTCCAAACCAAAATAGCGATGATTGTAGGGCAGAAGGTAAAGAGAATTACCGACGGAGGCCTTTTTGTGAGTGAAAGGGTTAAATCACCCAGCTGGATTAAGGTCAAATTCCATGTCGCTGACCAATAGCAAGTTACTCATTGACTCGCATAACAGACTATGCCGGGAAATAGAGAATGCTTGTTGTCCACGGGTAATTGTAAAAGAATCCTTGAGTCAAAAGCTTAAATGACATGTAAGCAACAGTCATAAGTTCACGAGGCAGAATGAAAACCTTCTTTGTCAGTAAAATGGTCTTTGACTTTTCGAACGTTGTTATTGTCTGTCTAGACTCTTACTGGGGGTCACCTTACAGGACCCCAAATGTGATTTTAAAGTATATGTTTACGCTTAGTATCGCTGTAAATCCTCGTAGATGACGCAAATCGTTGAACATTTCAGCAAAACATGTTAAGGTGAAATTTGCAAAATTTGTTTCTTCTTCCTCGTTACACTCAGTATACTCGAGGAAGGTTGGGACGGATTGAACTACAACATCTGAGCCTCTCAGCAAACTGGTTAACTGTTTTGCACAAAACCCAGATACATTTGTTTTTGAAAATTTTTGTTCTCCAAAATTTGGGTGTTTTCCAAATACCCGAGGAAAATAGGGACGAGTTGAGCTTTTCATTGAACTGATGAACTATTTGGCACAAAAAGCCAATTAATATAATTTATAAAAAATTTTATTTCTCTTGCCTGTGGATAAAACGCCATCTGTACAGGTTTTTCGTCTCGGCTTTAGTTTCGTGATGACCAAAACTTGTCGAGTGTTAAAAATAGCGGGTTTGTTTTCCTTGACGGGAGCACTGTCTCCAAGGAAGCTTTACTCGCTGAGGAACTTCCACGCTCTTTGTTTTTTCTGATTGTAAAGTAAATAAACTCACAAAGATTTGAGTAATTCCCGGTTAATCCTGCACTCCGTTTGACCTTCGGCTCAACTAAGGTTTTCCAGCGTCGCCTGTCAGGAACACACTGTGGAGTTTTGCTCAGTGCCATCATGTATGTTGATTCAGGGCCTACCCGGCCTGCTCAGAGGTGAGTTTGGTGAATGTTTCTGTTCATCTTCAACATGTTTCGGAACATAACGAGAGAAACACAAATAGGGAGAAATCACATGGCTACGCCGCTCTCCAAAATGCTATATAAGAGGATTATTTATTTATTGCCTTTTTTTTTTCTTTCCTACGCTCAAGAACTTAAGTCGAGTTTTGCGTGAGGTCGGTGTACAATAGTCCACTAGAAAGCTACACTTAAGCCGGTCCTCCTTAATTTGTTTTCCTTGTTGCCCTCGTCTGATTTGTTTTTCGTTTTTGAAATCTTGCTCACATGTTGAGAGGTTTCACGAGATTAAACCATTCGTTTTTCATGAGTGTTAGGCAACTCAGTTTTTTTTTTTGTTTCAATATAAGAGAGCGACTCCTTGACAAGTTAGCTGCATGTAAATTCTTGTCAATCACAGAATTTTGATCTAATAAACAAGAGCTCCATAAATGATGATTGATACCGGAAATTAGGCCCCACATCCCGCTGCGAATCTCAAGACTTCACGAAAGAGTCACGACAAAGACACATTCTGATTGGCTCGCTTTATTATCCGCGCCGGTTGTCGTCACGGTTGCAAAATATTGTTTTCTTGCTTCGAAAAAAAATTCACAAAAGAGTCTTGACGGCGTTTGATGGCCTTTCTGAGTCTTGTTGGGCATATGTGAAGGCATAAAATGAAGCAGCTGTTCTATTTTGGGCTTTTGGTGTTTTTTTCTTCCTCAGAGTGGCGTTTTGTAGGTAAGTGCAATAGAGTTGGAAAGTAAGGCTTTGATCGAACCAGTTTCTAACCTGACTTAATTTAGATCAGTTGTGATTGCCTAAGCAATAAAAAGTTAACTTGTGTATTGATCAGCAGCGATTGATTAGTTAAACATATCACGACTGATTCTCAAAAATGAAATAGCGACTAAGGCTTGCAATGCGTGTCTCCTTAGACGTTGTGGAAACAAACCGGCCGGCAAGGAAAGGCTTTTTTCTCCATAAAGTTATTCTAGACTTAAACAGATTTCTTTCATTTCAAAAAACAATTGTTAGTTTTTTTTTTTGCTTTGCTACAATTAAAACATAAGAATAGAGAGGTAAAGGTAAATATTTATTTGTGGCAAATAGCTATCCTTTTATGTGCGTGTAGCTAGCGCTGTTTACTTCTCATGTTCAGTTGCGATCGTAAGGTACACTGATCACGCGAGCAAATGATAAAGTGGATCTCACCAGTGTCATAGGAAGTTCACTTCCTCGGAGATCGCTTTAGATTTTTATCTTGGCCAATTCTTACAGAATTTTGATTAAAAAAATTGACCCAAGACGTATCTAAATTATCTAGGCAAACATTCCAGCCTGCTGGTTTCTGTGACCACTTTTCGACGCAGCTTGTTTTTCGTTTGCTCTCTCAACAAAGAAGGGACAGGAGGAAAATGTGGGATTTTTTTTTCTTGTTCATATCTTTCGGAAAAATCAGACCAATGATAGCGCAATTGTTTTATTTCTTGTTAATCGCATTAAATGCTGCTGATAATCTCTCTACCAATTAGCAGTCTAGAGACTCTTTTACGCTATCTGTTTAAAAACAATTTTTCGGTGTGACTTTGATCGTAAGATTTCACCTGTGCTTTTGAAATATCGTAAAATTGAGTTTCATAGGCGAAATTGAAACAGTGTGCGAGTACCATTTCTTCCTCTGTATTTTTTTTAAAAAAGAAACTGCAGTCAAATTGCCTTACCAGACACGTTTGTTACTTTAATGGTCTATAATGTTTGGTATTTCCTGCTGAAAAGCCTGAGGTTGTCTCAATAGATTTGACCGGGCAGAGTTCTACTTGCTCTTTTGCTCCGGTGTGAATTCTATGTTAGCTTCTTTATGCGTCTGGCTCGGAGAATCTTAGAAATACAAGCGTTTTTTAAGTATGGTGCTGGCGAAACCCACTCTTAGTCTCGTCCTTTCTCGTTGGTGAAGACATCATCTTGTCTCACGGCAACGCTCGTACCGATTTAATTACTATGAAATGCTCTTTCATTTAAATCATCGAATACGAAAGGCATTTCTTACACCTTGGCACTGACTCTATTAAAATCACTTGAGATGTGGGATTTGTCTAAATTTTGGCATATCTTTCAAAGAACTCTTCCAAATGTCAAATAGCCAGGCACTTTGGAATCTTCAAGTGAAAACGCAGAATGGAAAAGTGAGGCATGCATTTTTGAAAACGTTCGGAAAGTAGCTGATTTATGAGTTGCACCATAGTTTTTTAATGAAATTTACGCTAGTGATGCTGATAGGGTCCAAAAGTCCACTGTAGTAATCAGTTTAATATTACTATTACGTCATATTTAAACCCCTTAAAAAGATAAATCTGTGGATCTTTCCTATTTACCCAGCTTTATTACTATTTCTTCCGAAACTGCTTTGGAAACAATTCAAAGCCGACCACATGCAACATTTTGTTTGGTAGTGAGAGAACTCCAGGACTGAGACAAAAAAAAAGACAATGAGTAGTTCATTTGATTCCTTCCTGATGCGATTTACAGACTTGTGATGATAGCTTGTCTAGCCAGTGATTATTTCAGTCATTATATACTCTTTGAAATGAAATATTCGTAAATCGAGCTGCGTCTAAAAGGGTGGGAGATGGTCGTTGAGTGGTGAATTATTATATGGTCTAAACTCCCAGTATGGTAACAATAAAAATTATAGTTCTCCTGTATTTTGGCGCTTAATTACATCATTTTCTTGTAGCGTCTTTTTATGCTCAGTTCTGCAAAAACGATTCTTGTAAACGTCTTCAAATAAATGTCATTACGTAACACATAAGAAAGCATTTCTTGCTATTACTTATTTTACACATGTGAGTCAGGTCATCTATGAATCACCTTGAGCTCAAGTTTCGAAAGTACTTGACTTTTTCATAGTCAGCAAGAAGAAGGCAGATTTGTGAATGATTAATCATTTTGGAGTCTAAAACCTGCACTAGTTGATATCAGAACACATCACTCACTATTGTTGCAATTTTTTTTGTCGTTTACTTGCAAAATTGTTATAACAAGATTTTTTTCAGCTCTGAAATGCATCAATCCAAACGTGTGCGGATAATTTATCACGGAACACATAATAATAAGCTTTGCTTGAAATCAGGGTGTTTGTCTAATCTGGGAATACATTTCAAAGCGTAAGTTTGTGTTTCTACAACTATTTGACTTTAGCTTAAGTTTTCGACGCTGTAACTACTAACTAGTAGATTTTAAGCAAGAAGCAAGTCATTTAGCTGGCTGGTTGGGTAGACGTCTTTGAAAGCATTTTTTTCATGATTATTTTAGCCGGTGAGAGACCAAAAACAGTGTATTGAGACTAGATGAAATGAGTGCCAATTCTTCAAAAGGATTTGAGTCACATCACATGGTGAGGGGAATAAAAAAATACTTCCATCATTTTTCAGCCGATGTTACTAAATTTCGTTTTCATCAAAATATAGGATCGATAAAGATTCAAATTCTTGGCCTATGATGCAAGTCGATCTCCACGTGTTCTTCGGAATTATTTTTATTTGTTCGTTATTGCTTTCGTAACAGGATAGGAATTATTTTATTAAAACTCATCACGCGATTCTCGCGATAGAAGCATTTTTTGAAAAGCAGCATCATAAATGTTATACACTTCAATATTTGCAACACGCAAGTGTATCAGGAATGATTTTTGTTTTGAGGTAAAAAATAGATCACTTTGAAATTGAAATTAACTCTTGCGTGCCGCGAAACCTTGTAATGATTGTTTTGCATCATGTAATACCTCCTGTGTTTTGCAACTA